CTCCAGATGGAGAAATAATAGAACAGTCCATCCGTTTGGGGTTCAAGGCCTCAAACAATGAAGCGAAATACGAAGCATTAATTGCGGGGCTAAAACTGGCAGCAGCAGCAGAAGCAGATGAGGTAATAGTTTTTTGTGATTCACAACTTATTGTTAACCAGTCAACAGGTGAATTTGCAGCCAGGGACGAAAGGATGTCGGCATATGCAAAAGAGGTCATTAGATTGGCAGCCCTATTTCAGAACTGCCGACTACTGCAAGTCAGCCGAGATGACAACACTCACGCCGACGCGTTGGCTTACCTGGCAAGTTCAATACAGACTAGAAAAACAAGAACAATTATGATCGACTACATGTCGGGCCCGAGCATAGAACCAGGGAGCACAAAGCAGCAAGCAATGTGTGTGGACATGGGGCCAAGCTGGATGGATACAATTATTGCATTCCTGAAAGAAGGAAAGTTGCCAGAAGATCGTAAGGAGGCACACAAAGTCAGATTGAAATCTACAAGATTCTGTCTAACAGAAGATGGACATCTCTACAGAAGGTCCTTCACTGGACCACTTTTAAGGTGCGTACACCCTTTGCAGGTTGAGGATTTCCTCTATGAAATTCATGAAGGAATTTGTGGAAGCCATGCTGGGGGCAGATCATTAGCCTACAGGGCCATTACCTAGGGGTATTGGTGGCCCTACATGCAAAAGGATGCTGAAACTTACGTGAAAAAGTGTGAACAATGCCAAAGGTTTGCACCTTTGATACATCAGCCAGCTGCTGACCTGAATCCAGTATCCAGCCCTTAGCCGTTTGCCCAATGGGGCATGGATCTGGTTGGGCAACTTCCCCAGGCAACGGGGCAAAGAAAATACTTGCTGGTAGCAACAGACTACTTTACAAAGTGGATAGAGGCAGAACCTCTTGCCAAAATTTGAGATGTGGACGTCAAGAACTTTATATGGAGAAACATCATCACCAGATTTGGGATTCCAAGAGCAATAATAGCCGACAACGGAACACAGTTTGACAACAAACTCATCAAGAACTTTTGTGCAAAATTCAAGATCAAGAATTATTTCTCAACACCAAGTTTTCCCAAAAGTAATGGGCAAGCAGAGGCATCCAACAAAGTAATTCTGGATGGAATAAAGAAAAGGCTGCAGGCAGCAAAAGGAAAGTGGGTAGACGAGTTGCCCAACGTGCTTTGGGCATATCGGACTACACCGAGAAGATCAACAGGAGAATCCCCCTTCGCCATGGCTTATGGCACAGAAGCAGTCATCCCATTAGAGATCGGCATACCAGGGATCAGAACCCAAGGAGTACAGAATGGCACCAATGACGTAGTCCTAGCCCAAGATCTGGATCTTTTGGAAGAACGAAGAGAGAAAGCTGCAATTCAGCTTGCAGTATACCAGCAACAGCTTGCCAGAGCTTACAACAAGAAGGTCAATCCAAGAGATTTTCAAGTCGGCGACCTAGTCTTGAGGAAAGTCGTCGGGAACAAGAAGGATCCCAGAGAGGGCAAGCTTGGCCCAAACCGGGAAAGACCCTACAGAATTACTTCAGTATTAGGCAATGGAGCTTATCGGCTTGAAGACAATGAGGGCAAAGCATTGCCCAGACCTTGGAATACTTGTAATTTGAAATTTTTCTATCATTAGATGTTGCATCATTTTTTGACCGACGTCATCAATAAAGTCTCTTCAGAATTCTTTCAACACACATGATTGATTTACAAGTTGAAGTTAAGCCGAGATTATTCCTTAATTCACTTGTTGCAATTTGTAGCAATTTACAAGTTGAAGTTAAGCCGAGATTATTCCTTAATTCACTTGTTGCAATTTGTAGCAATTTACAAGTTGAAGTTAAGCCGAGATTATTCCTTAATTCACTTGTTGCAATTTGTAGCAATTTACAAGTTGGAGTCAAGCTGATTCCTTGTCTTCACTTTTTGAAATTTGTAGCAATTTATAAGTTGGAGTTAAGTTAAGCTGATTCCTTATCTTCACTTGTTGAAATTTGTAGCAATTTACAAGTCGAAGTTAAGCCGAGATAATTCCTTAATTCACTTGTTGCAATTTGTAGCAATTTACAAGTTGAAATTAAGCTGATTCCTTACCTTCACTTGTTGAAATTTGTAGCAATTTACAAGTTGGAGTTAAGCTGATTCCTTATCTTCACTTGTTGAAATTTGTAGCAATTTACAAGTTGAAGTTAAGCCGAGATCATTCCTTATCTTCATCTGTTGAAATTTGCAGCAATTTACAGGTTGAGGTAAAAGCTAAGTATAATGTTTAAACACTTGTTGAAATTCGTAGCAATTTACAAATAGATCATTGTTATAACTTGAAGAAAAAATTACAGTATATATTAACACTTGTTGAAATTTACAGCAATTTACAAGTAGGTTAGACCGAGATCGCTGTTTAAATACTTGTTGAAACTTGGAAAAAAGTTTTCAAAATTGACATTAAACAATAAATGTTTTACATTTGTTGGAATTTATGAAGAATTTACAGATCTGTATCTTGCCGAAGTGAAGTTGGACGCTATTTCACCCGAGGTGCGTAACCCCGAGAAGATTATACAAAGCAAGCAAAATGGAAAGGCATGCAAAAAAAAAAAATTCTAAGTATAGAACTATGCAGAAGCAATCAATAGAAAATTACAAAGATTGAAATATCTATAGAAAAAACTGTTGCAGTTACATACTGAAGAAGGCACTACGGCCTACCAGAAGTAAATCGTTTTTACAAGAAAAAGCACTTCGGCCATACAAAGAAACTTATATTGTCCACAAAACAAAACAGAGTATAAAAAGGCAGGGACATAAAGACATTCAAATCAGGATTCTTCAGCATTAACAGCTAGGGGCGCTAGGACCTCAGAAGATTCTGGTGGAACCTCCTCGGCAATCTTTTCTCCTTCAATCTCGGTGTCAATCTCTGCAAGAGTTTCATCGAGACTTTTTTCGGCTGGAGGAACGTCGGAAGACGCTTGTTCAGGAGTTGCCTCCTTAATAACCACCTCATCCTCTTCATGAGTCAGGTCTAGGATCTGATCATCTTGAGGAAAAGATTAGGTTTTATTGGCATCCTTAGGCTTCCTTACTAGAGCATCACCGTCATCCTTATCTTCATTTTCGGCTTCAGACTCAGACTCAGATTCCTCTTCAGCCTGACTTGGAGGTGGAAGAGGAGGAAATGGAAGAGGAATGGCTTCAGCCTTACGCAACGGCGAGTCATCTGGGACATTGAGTTTTTTGGCAAGGGCCATCCAACCGAGGGAGAAGCCCCTGTTGCATGCCTGCCTAACTTGAAGTTTGTATTCCTCAGTGACGTCAGCCATACCCTGGGCGTAGGCCTTCTCATCGACTTCTTTGATTTCGGCATTTTTTGTGGCCAGAGCCTCCTGAAGCTCCTTCTTTTCAGCTTCGGCAACCTTTCTAATAGCCTCAGCAGACTCCGCTTTTTCCTCGGTCATCTGCTGGGCCTTAGTAGCGGCCTCGGCCTGATCTTCCAATTTCTTCATCTTTGATTCAAGAGATTTACTATCCTTTTTGAGGGTAGAAACCTCCCTCTTCAAGTCGATCACTCTTTGCCGATTTTCAAAAGATTGCATCGAAAACGAATGGGCGTGCTGGATGGCCTGAAAGAAAACAGAAGTGTTAGAAAATCTTCTAAGTATGAAGCGGAAAGAAAAGACAAAACAAGAAACACTTACTTGAACAGAGTGTTGGAGCATTAGCGCGTAGTTTTCGTACTCGCTGTACCCAGCATTTCGCTCCAGATCGCTTGGAAGAAGAAGAGCAGTACTGAGGGTGACACCGACATTAATGTCGTCGGCACTCTCAGTTGACATAATTGGCCTATCCTCCAAAGTCAACTTTGGTGCCCAGGGGACATCGGGTTTCTTGGACCCCGAAGTTGTAGCTGAGGTAGACCTCGGCTTTTTTGATTGGGTGGACTCGGAGGGTTGGGTCTCGGCAGACCTTTTTGCAGGAGCAGAAGAAGTCTTCTTACTCTCAGCCAGTTTTGAGATAGGCAAACTATCCTCAGCCTCAACAGCCTTGGCCTTAGGCTGGGCCTTCTTGATTCTTTTTCGCTTCGATGGGGGCATTGGTTGGGATGGTACAGCATCAGCATCAGCCGGGAGGTTGGCAAGGAGATTTTGGGCGATTGGCTTTGCACGACCCATTTCGGCAGTTTTGACAAGGCGTCGCCGACGCTTTCTTTCTGGTATTGGGATCAAGTATGGGGCCGAAGTGGATGGTTGATTGGTTGGGTCAGATGTGGACTCTTGATCTGTTCGGGATGAAGGAGCGGTTATAGTTGTGGCAGTAGGTGGAGAGAGGCTCTTCTTCTTTTTCTTCAGGACGTCGAGCAATGTGGATTTGTATGTCGGAATAAAGTTTAGTAACAGTGGAGCTTTGCGCTTGTGGATTGGAAGATCAAGAAGCTTCTTTAAATCTTTTCCTGGGAAATACGATTGGCGAAAGTTTTTTGGTGGCTGATGAAGATCTGCAGGACAAACAAACAAACATTAGAAACAGACAAAGTTTTGAAGACTTGGAAAAGAAATAACTAAGTATTGATGCTGGACTCTTACCCTTGCCCTCTTTAACTGTTTGAGGAAGAGGGTAGAGGTGAACATCTTCGTCTGGGCCAAATTCCCAATTTCCCGAAACAATGACAAAGTCATCCCCGGCTCCCTTGTTGGAATCCGGGAGGTCGGCTACAATTTTGAACTCGGTGGACCTCGGCTTGAGGTAGTAGACATAACCTCTTTCCTTCAGGTTAAGGGGGCACATGGTATAACAAAATTAGATATCGGCAAGGGTGATCCTAACGTTCTCTTGCCTAGCCAGGGCTATGATACCATTAATCACTCGATAAGAGTTAATGGTAAGTTGCATAGGGTTCAACCTATAGAAGTGGAGAACCTCGCGAAAGAGGAGATTGAGTGGAAGCCGGAGTCCACATTCGGTAAAGGCTACAATAGGAAAGGGCATCGTATGATCTGTGGGCATGATGGAATCACCATCCCCAGCTAGCCTAAGGTGAACATCGGCTGGGATGGAGAACTCCTGCCTAAAGTATTCGAGTTTTGTTGGGGTATTTACCCGGTGTCTCCACATACCCATTACGTCGGCCTAAACAAAGAAGGCTGTTTCGGAAGATAGGTATTTCAGAAGGGTTAATAGAACCTCGGTTTCAAAACCTGGGTAAGGACTGGTAAGGTTTGTTTTAATTTTTCCTAAAGATTGAAGGTTCTACAGGCAAATCCCAAACCTAAAACTATAAAGACGAAAATCGAGAGCACAGATCTGGTAGAGACACAAAAAACAGAGAATAAAAGCGAAATTTCAGAAACAAGAACAGGGATGGGCTATCAGGAACACGAAGAATACAAAGGGTTAAGGGCCAAGAACAGTAGTGAAACAGTGCAAGTGTTCATGGCATGTGAAAAAATCATGAAATAAGACGCATTCAGGTGAATGATTCACGAATAACACTTAAACAGAACAGTAATAGCAAGAAACTTCAGAAACAATCAAGAATTAGAAAAAGAGGGTAAGGGGGCCAGTTGCTTACCGGGTAAAATGAGGCCGGAGCGATATTCGCCGAGACCAGACGACAGTTGTAACAGTAACGAAAGCTTCGCGGGAATGGAAGAGTAAGGATGGTCACAGAATTTGAGACTTAGAGCAATGGCAGATTCGAAGAATGCTAGAGCTTTTAGAGAGAGAGAAAACAAGAAATCAGAATGCAAAAAGTGAAGAAAGGAAGAGGGAAAGGAAAGTTTTGTAAAAAACTTAAAACGGCGGCAAAACAGGGCATTTATTGCGCCTGGAGCACCAGATACGTCAGACGGCGCAAACGAATAAAAGATAGCTTTTAGGCGCGTCACAGACACGGGCCAATGAAGACAAAACACGTGAAAGGAACGGTTAGATGTGCATGACAGCTCATGCGCGTGATGGAGTTCATTTGGATTCTTATTCTCCGAAGAGAATACATCGGCTTAAAAGTGAATTATCTTGGCCAAACAGTTTTTGAACCACTATGCAGAAAGAAATATCGATATAGGTTCCATCACCTCAGAATGACGAGGTAATAGAACCTAGGGGGCAGTTGTGGGGATATATTTCTTGGGTACCAACACGTGGCATGGCGACGCCGACGTGTTTGGCCGAGGTGCCACGTGTCGTGGAAATTACGCCGAGGTGATCTCGGAGTTGCCGAGGTTATCTCCGAAGATATCGGAATCCGAGATAAGCGGATAAGGGACAAGAGTCCTAGGACAAAAAGAAGACTTAGCCAAGATAAGGATAAAGCTCTTAGGGAGTTTATCTTTATCTCTTGAGAAATCCTAAGTAAGCACTAAATTGAAGTCTATAGAAGTCATGCTTCTAGTAGGACTTAGATTGAGTTAACTATAAAAGAGAGTCACCCTCATGGGTCTAAGGTACGCAGTTTTATACTCAAGCTTGTGAGTTTAGCACTTGATTATCTTTGAGAGATATACTGACTTGATCGTCGGAGTGCCCCCGGGTGGAAGAGCCACCGCCGGAGCCCTTTCTTTCTGTTACAGGTTACTGGAGCCATCTATTCTGCCGGTGCTCTCCAGCTGATTACTAGGCGGGCAGTGTGGTAAGAAAATTACCCACACAATTATTTAATTATGTGAATCTGTAATCCTAAACAGATCTAATTCGTATTTAAATAGATTGGTTTGAATTGGTTTCACGATTTAAACGGATTGAAATGGTTCTAATTTTTCAAAAATCATAAATAACGGATTGATTTTGATTTTACCCCAATCTGGATCAATCGAGACTATGCTCATCCCTATAATTTATCACAACTGAAGGATTCTTTGGAATTATATAAATAAGTATTCTTTGACTTTTTTTAAAAAAAATAATTGTGTAAAAAAATAAAGACGTGAGATTATCTAAGTAAGGCCTTGTTTGGTATGAATTAAAAAAATTAAAAAGTCAAAAAATCAATATCTTATTTAAGTCACATCATTTTATTTAAATTACATCACCTCTCTAAAATATCATTTCAAACCCAACCCATACTCAATTCATATTTTATAAAAAATCAAAAAATATACTTATTTTAATTATCCCAAACCATCACTAAGGACAGTTATTTAGGGCAAACAAACTCTAACGGTTGTTAGGCATCCCTTATTTTAGTGTATATCTTTTTATCGTTGTATTTTATTTTAATTATATTACTTTTTATTTATCTCACATCATTTTTTTATTAAAAAAATATTAAAAAATATATTTAAATCATTTAAAATAACTCCTAAGTGGATTCAGACACCAAACATAAAATTCCACACGATCCTTTTATAAGGGTGATCCCTACATGTATAGGGCCCACATATAAAATCCATCCACTATGAAAAATTTATATCTCATTTTATATTTAATTTTTATATTTTTATGCTATTTGTGGTTGAAAATTTTGAAAAATAATTTAAAAAATAAATTAAAAAAATAAATAAAATATGAATAAAATATATTTACATTTTATCTAATTTTACATACTTTTTCTCTTATTATTTTTAAATTTTTTTTCAAATCTCTCAACTAATCACGTCATTAAACATTTATTACAAAATGAGTGACACACATGTACCAAACGGAGTTTCATACGTCATTCATGCTGGTCTAGTGGAAAAAACAAAAAAATAAAAATAAAAATAAACCAGAAGCGGGGATGATACACAAAAACAAAAATACCACTGAAGTTTATTTTTTTTATTTTCTGAAACACAAAAACAAACCCAAAAACTACAATACTTTGAGAAACAGATGATTTGCAGAAAGGGATACAGAGAAGCGGGGATGATACAGAAGGGGGGGAGAAAAGAAGTAGCAAACTTAATACCTGTAATCAGAAGCGGGGATGATACAGAAGCGGGGATACAAAAAAGCTACCCTCACAACCTCTTTCTCCAACCTCACGAAATCAGAAAAGCCCTAAATACCTGTAATCAGAAAAAGCCCTAACTTAATCAAAGCTTTGATTACGAAATCGATAGAGAGGGAGAGAGAACATTTCAAAAACATTTCGATAGAGAGGGAGAGAGAAATACCACGTGAGCCACGGGGATGGAGAGGGAGAGAGATACAAACAGACAGACACAGATCGATAGACAGGGAGAGACAAATACCTGTAATCAGTGGTGGGCCGGACTGCAATGTTCGTGGTCGCGAGCGCCGGTGATGAACGACGGTGGCCAGCGGCGCAGAGCTTTGGTATCGACTGCTCTGTGGTGTGTGTCAAACAGAAGACAAATAATCCTTTGTTAAATGTAGGCGCCAATATTAATGAGTTTCCCTCTAAAAAAACATTTCGAAACTTCAGCGACTAAATATTTGTTATGGTCGCCAAAAAGCATAAAAATTTCTCCCATTTTATTGACGACAAAACGTTTTTGTCGCGAAATGTTATCATATGGCGACGAAATTGAACTTTGGTAGCGTAAAGTGGTTCAAAGCAGCGACTAAAAACAAATTAGTCGCCAATAACACTGTATGGCGACTAAAAACTTTGGTAGCTAAAAATACTAAATGAATGCCGACTAAAAATGGAAGTTTGGTCGCCGAACACCCTGTTTTTGGCGACTAAAATTGGTTTGGTCGCCAATTTTAGTCGCCAAATGTACGGTTTGTTGTAGTGATCCTTTTCAATAAAATTTCAATCTAATAATAATTGGAAATATGGATTTTTTTAGGATTGGATCGAAAAATTAATGGAGCTTAAAAGGAGAAATACAACTAGCTTGCTTCGATGGGGATGTAATAAGGTAATTTCAATTTCAATGTATTTTGATATGTATATTTCTAACAAATATACCAACTTATATATATATATTTTTTTATTTCTACAAATTACCAGATTGTTGTGCATGTTCCTCATTGGGGATACATACAAGTTGATACAAAGACTTTTTCGAGAGTAATGAGGAGGAAGTTTGGGCAAATACATGCTTGAAGACATGTTATTGACACATCTTCTGTAAAGCATACAAATTCTTGAAAACTTTAACCCACTTTTTTTTAATAAAGTTTTAATTTACTCTTTCGGTGTATGACAAGATAATGTTTGTTTTTCTTATGTAGTTATAATTTGATTGGCAGCAGTAGCACTAATTGGTGTGCATTTTAGTTT